ACTCTCCAGCGCCCTTTCCACTTCTGCGGCGCTCCTTCTGCGTCTGCGAGCTCGCAGGTACGAAACACCCCTTGCACCTGTGCAAATGCCCCAGATCACCCAAACCGCATCTGCGACTACTTGGCCGCTTTTGCAGCATCAAATCTACGCAGGTGCAGTGGCACCAAATATCAGTAGCATCAAAATTCTTCTAAGTCAAAATCCTAATTCGATTTCCATTCGAATCATCCCCTAAGCCCCCGTGGCCTTGTCCAAACATACCAACACATCCCGAAATGCGATACAAACTTAGTGGAGGCCTCAAATCACATCAAACAACATCAAAAACGCAAATCACACCCCAATTCAAACCTATTGAAACTAATGAACTTCCAACTTCTACAATCGATCCCGAAACCTATCAAATCAACTCTGATTGACCTCAAATTTTGAACACAAGTCATAAATGACACAACGGACCTATTCCAACTTCCGGAACAAAAATCCGAGACCCGTAACCACAATGTCAACTCTCGGTCAAACTTCTCAACTCTCCAAACTTCTATTTTTCCAACTTTCGCCAATTCAAGACAAAATCATCTATGGACCTCCAAATCAACATCCGGACACACTCCTAAGTCCAAAATCACCATACGGAGCTATCGGAAGCATCAAAACTCCATTCTAGAGTCATTTACACATAAGGCAACATCCTGTCAACTCTTTCAACTTTGGCTTCCAACCTTGGGACTAAGTGTCCCAACCCATTCTAAAACATCTCCGGAGCTAAACCGACTACCCCGAAAAGTCACATAACAATAAGTGAGCATAATATAAGCAATAAATAGGGGAACAGGGCGGTAATACTCAAAATGACCGGCCGGGTTGTTACATCCTCCCCCTCTTAAACAAACGTTCATCCTCGTAAGGGTCTATAATCATACTTGGAGTCTGAAATAGGTGTGGATATCTGCTTCACATCTCTCGCTCGATCTCCCAAGTAGCTTCCTCGACTGGATGCCCTCTCCACTGCACCTTCACTTAATCTATATTCTTTTACCTCAACTTTCGAACCTGCCGATCCAAAATGGCCAGCGACCCCACAAAATAAGTCAAATCTCCATCTAACTGAACCGTGATGAAGTCCAAGCATGAGACGGATCGTCAAAGTACTTCCAGAAGAGCATAGAAACATGAAATAATGGGTGAACACTCGACAAACTAGGCTGTAATGCAAACTTGTAGGCCACTTCTCCAATCCTCTCAAGTATCTCAAAAGGCCTAATATACCGAGGGCTCAGCTTGCCCTTCTTTCCGAACCTCATAACACCCTTCATGGGCGAAACTCTAAGCAGTAGCTTCTCCCCCACCATGTAGGTAACGTCGCGAACCATAGGACCGACGTAACTCTTCTATCTAGACTGTGCTGTGCGAAGCCGATCCTGAATCAGCTTTACCTTGTCCAAAGCATCCTGAACCAAGTTAGTACCCAATAGCCTAGCTTCACTCGACTCAAACCAACCCACCGGAGACCTACACCGTCTCCCGTACAAAGCCTCATACGGAGGCATCTGAATGCTCGATTGGTAGCTGTTGTTGTAGGCAAACTCTACAAGCGGCAGAAACTGATCCCAAGAGCCCCCGAAATCCATGACACAAGTGCGTAGCCTATCCTCCAATATCTGGATAGTGCGCTCAGATTGTCCGTCCGTCTAAGGGTTGAATGCTGTTCTCAACTTAACCCGTGTGCCAAACTCTCACTACACTGCTCTCAAAAACTGCAATGTAAACTATGTGCCCCAATATGAAATGATGGACACCAACACACCGTGAAGGCGAACAATCTCGCGGGTATAGATCTCGGCCAACCACTCTAAAAAATAAGTAGTCCCAACTGGAATGAAATGCGCGGACTTGGTCAACCAGTCCACTATTACCTAAATACCATCAAACTTCTTCGAAGTCCGTGGGAGCCCAACTATGAAGTCCATGGTGATACGCTCCCATTCACTGCGGAATCTCAAGCCTCTAAAGCAAACCGCCCGGTCTCTGATGCTCGTACTTCCCCTACTGACAATTTAGCACTGAGCTACAAACCCCACTATATCTTTCTTCTTCCTCCTCCACCAATAATGCTGCCTCAAGTATTGATACATCTTTGCGACACCCGGATGAATGGAGTACCGCAAAGTATGGGCCTCCTAGAGAATCAACTCACGTAGCCCATCCATATTGGGCACACAAATCCGAACCTGCATCTGCAACATCCTATAATACCCAATGGTAACCTCCTTCGCATCACCGTGCTGAACTGTGTTCTTAAGGACAAGCAAATGGGAGTCATCACACTGACGCTATATGATGTAATCATATAAGGAAGACCGAGAAACCACACAAGCTAGAATCCGACTAGGCTCCAAAACATCCAACCTCACGAACTGATTGGCCAAGGCCTGAACATCTGATGCAAGTGGTCTCCCACCAACAGGAATAAATGCAAGGCAAACCATACTCACCGCCTTCCTACTCAAGGCATCGTCTACCATATTGGCCTTCCTAGGGTGATACAGAATGGTAATATCATAGTCCTTTAGCAGCTCTAACCATCTCTGCTACCTCAAATTTAGACCCTTTTGTTCGAACAAGTGCTGGAGACTCCGATGATTCGTAAATAGCTCGCAAGACACACCATAGAGATAATGCCTCCAAATCTTCAATGCATGACAGTGGCTGCAAAATCCAAATCATGAACATGGTAGTTTCTCATGAGGCTTCAACTGACGTGAAGCATAAGAAATCACTCTACCTCCTGAATCAAGACACATCCAATACCAATCAAAGAAGCATCACAATACACTGTATAAGAACCCGACGCTGAAGGCAAAACTAGAATTGTAGCTGTGGTCAAGGCAGTCTTGAGTTTCTGAAAGCTCTCCTCATTCTCATCCGATCACCTGAATAGAGTACCCTTCTGGGTCAACCTGGTCAAAGGTGCTGTAATGGATAAGAAATCCTCCATGAAGCGACGATAATATCCAGCCAAGTCGAGAAAACTCTGAATCCCAGTAGCTAAATGTAAGGCCCCGTGAAAATTTCTACTCAAAACCCGAAAGCTCGTAGTGCCAAGTTAGGATATGTGTTAGAAAGTTGTAAAATTCTCCGCGGCGAGCTTGGACTGATCTATGCATTAAAAAGTTAAGGAAAAATGTTTACCAGAAAAGTGCGTTTATGCGGTCCATTATGCGGTCACATAATAGCTACGCGGACCGCATAGTCGTCGCAGAGTTAGACAGTTTGATGGTAATTTTGAGGTCACCTATGCGGCCCATTATGCGATCGCATAACCAATATGCGGGCCGCATAGTCATCGCATAATCCCCTTGGAGTTTTGCGAGGGGCAGTTCTGCGGTGCATTATGCGATCGCAGAACAGGTATATGGACCGCATACCTATCGCATACTCGGGCAGTTTGTTCAGGTTTTGAAGCCATTTTTGCGGTCCATTTCGCGGGCCGCATGTCAATTATGCGATCGCATATGCAATCGCAGATTGTGTCGGGGCTCCTATTTTTTAATTTTAAAAACCTGACCCCATCCCATTAAAAACACCCCATTAGATCCATTTTTTGTTGTTTTACTGCATATAGAGTGGGAGAGGAAGTTCTAGAGGGAGAGGGAGTGATCTTCATCAAGTCCCCACTCAATTCTTGCCCCAAATCCTTGAAGATTGTCAAGTGAAATTACTAGGTCTTCACCCTAAGAGGTAAGAACTTCTGCCCTAATCTATAATTTCGAAATTTCTATTAAAACAAGTGATTAGCAAGTGGGTTTATAGGTATAAGGGTTGATAATCTTGCATGCATGAGTGACAATAGAGTATGGGGAGGTTGTGAGTTAAAAAGATAGCAATTGGGGTGTAAGATGATAAAAATCTCTCACAAAAGGGACCTATGATCACGATGCACACTTAGTGCTTGATAATATGCTCAAATGAGCTAAAATCTTAATCATGTCTCTAATTCTTGGTTCAATTTGTAATTCCTATAAAATAGATTGAAGTTGATAAGAGTCCCAGAACTTTGTAAGAATTTAAGGAAAGCTATATTGAGATATGTATGGCTAAAACCCCATCTTTTTAGAAATTGAGCTTCGTTGGTGTTTGTGTAAATGCGGTAAGATCAAAGTTGGATTGATTATTGATTGTTAATTTCACATGAATTGGTGTTGCAACTTTATATACGTAAAAGGTGTGTCTCAATATGATCAATTTGCTATTCTTGATAACATAAAAAGGTGCGAAGAATATGAATCATGTATCACTACCAGAAAATGGACCTATGGGAACAACTATTTTGGCAACGGTTCACAAACCGTTGCCATTGATCCGATATAGTAATGGTTGAAACGGTTACAATAGAATTTGGGTGCTATCAGCACACTATTGACATCAAACCGTTGCAAATATAACACAACCGTTGCCATAGAGTTTTGTTTCGCAACAGATTCGTGAACCGTCCCAATAGACATGCATATGACAACGGTTGTGTGAAAAAAATTGCTATGGGAACGATTATTTATTCCCCCTCGTTTTTTCCGCTGAAAATTTACTGGCTCGTGCCAAGCTAATTAATTAAGTGACCTGTATTTTATAATTTTTAATTAATTTAATACAAAAACGCCTCCGCCCATCGATACACCCAGAACTACTCCCTTCGTTGATACCAAACTCCCATCGTCGAACACCCAAAAATCCCCTCTCTGATCTCTTTTATTTTTGCATCTTTGCCGAGTTTAAGATTAATGGATGAGTTTCATCAAATACCTCTTCATTAGACCTCCATAATCATCAAACCCTAGAGTTCCAAAAGCCCAAAACCGTGAGGACAGTCGGGGACTTCTCCGGCACTTCTTCAGGGACTTCCATTGGTTTTCCGGCACTTCTTCGGCACTTCTTCAGGGACAGTTTCTTCGCCGGCACTCCTTCCCCAAATCCCCAAATTCTAAAATCAGATTTGTGCTCGTATCAGAGAAGCCCAAAATCACCATAGCCTGGTAATTTTGTTAATTCTTTTGGTCATTTTTACTGTTGTTATTACCAATTCTATACGTTTTTATTGTGTTTTTTAGTCTGCTGGAATATGTGATCCCGTATTTGCTTCTGCAGCGACTACTAAACCGGCACCTTTTGAAAGCTATAGCTCCTGATTATAAGTGCCTTTTCTCAGTCAGCTGTGAAAGACTATTTCTTTCTGTATGTAGCCACTCTTTCAATTTCTTTTTCAGAAGGTATATATATGTATACACAGAATATATATACATAGAGAAGTAGAAGAAAGAGGGAGAAATGGGTTGGTTTCCATGTTCTGGATCATCGAAGCAGACCTCAAAGAAGAGGAAAAAGAAGAAAGACTCGACCAATTCGGTCTAACTTGGTTCTGGTAATTAATAAATCTGCATATTTATCATATAAGCAGACTAATTTTATGATTCTTTGAGATGGGTTTGTTGTATTATTGTCAAATTTCTAGGTTTTTATGCAATTTCAAGCTTCAAGTTTTCAACTTTTAATGAATCTGTAAAATGGGTTTGTTTTATTTTGGTTAAATTTCTAGTCTTTATGTTATGTGGAGCTTCAGGTTTTCAACTTTTAATGATTCTTTGAGATGGATTTGTTTTATTTTTGTCAAATTTCTAGTCTTTATGTTATTTGGAGCTTGAGCCGAGGGGCTTTCGGAAACAACCTCTCTATCCCCCGCGCAGGGGTAAGGTGTGCGTATGCACTACCTTTCTAGACCCCACTTGTAGTATTTCACTGGGTCTGTTGTTGTTATTGTTGTTGTTATGTTATTTGGAGCTTCAAGTTTTCAACTTTTAATGATTCTGTGAAATGGGTTTGTTGTAATTTTTTGTTTTTGGGTCAAATAGTATGTTGGAATTGCATAAAGATTCTATTTTTGGCCTACCCCTTGGTGGGTTTGTGTGGTGTTACCGGTTGTGTATTGTATTTGTTTCTATGCGTGATCACCATGGGAATGACATTTTTGGGTCAAATGGCCTATATTGGAATTGCATAAGGATTCTATTTTTGACTACACTGTGATGGATTGGGTTGGTAATCAGCATGTCATAATTATTATCTATGGTCATAATTGATTAATTATGATCTCTTGTGTTGCTTTTCCATCCCAACTGTGTTGCCGTTCATGTGCCTTCTTTTTGTTTTTGTTTGATCCACTTCTCATGTGTCGAGGGGATAGGTCTCCCACCCTAGCTATATTTTTGAAGGAGGCATCCAGTAGTTCCTCTTCCTCCCCTTCTTCATAGAAATCTTGACCCATGTCCATTCCAAACGTGTCACTTTGATTGTATCCGGACATCACTAATGCACCATGATCCTTCCTCGGATTATCAAGAGCTCTCAATGTATCCATGTCATATGTAACAAGAGCATGGAGAATATTGGTAGGTGTCAAGTTGAATTTTGTAGTCAATGAAATTGAACTTCCATCAGTTCTTTCATTTGCTACTGTATTGCGCATTTCTGAAATTTCAGCCTCATTCACCTCTGCTTTTTGCTGCTGCCCAGCTGGAATTAAAGACATGTTGATGTCTTTAGGACCATCTTGAAGTGTTGAATCATTTGCTACTTTTCTGTTCTGTCCAATTGGTACAAACGCAGCAGTATTAGGACTTAGTTTCGTCTTGGTTTGCACATTTGGTGGATTACTGAAAACTTGCTCAAATATAGTTACTGCCCCTTCCTTTGTGTTATCACCTCATTTTGTTGATGAACATGTTTCTTGAGTGTTTTGTTCGTGGGAATCACCAACATAAACTTTATCTTCTTCATACTCTTCTGTTTGGTCAGCCCATAGCTTACGCTTAGAGCTAATTACCTCTTGAAGCTCGTTTAAAAACTGGACAGGTTCATCACTTAGCTCAGCTTCACCTATTATGTCTTCATGTTCTTGTCTTATATGGTCAGCCCCTCCCTTTATTGTTGCCGACGACATCATGGATAAAGTTTGTTGATTGTTTGAAACTTGTACCATGTTGCCAGAGTGATCAAACAAATGAATTGAAGGGATATCATGTTGGGATGTATTCAAACCAACCCTTGCCATGCCATTATTTCCTTTATTCTCCAATTTATTCAAGGTAACCAATGGCGTTTTGATGTTTGGAATTGTGTTTATAAACATCGCTGCTTGAGCATGCCTTACCATTTTGGCTAGATCTGGATTGAGTAGGTGTACCGTTGATGAGGTGTCCAGTGGTTGACTCGTTTATTTGTAAAAAATGTCCAAAACCAATACAGAGAATCGAAATAGGTTGAAGTGTCCGCACAGATGCTGATGAGAGGATGCAGCAGAAAATAGCGGAAATGGAAGTAACAATCAAGGTCAGTACGTACCAAATGTTATACATGTTCTTCAATTTCTGATTCTGATAGTGCTTCAAGTTTGCCTAACTTTGAGACTCAATGATTCTAATTAAAATTGTATTCTTGCATAACATGATGGGGGACCATGTGCATCCAGCTCCAATTGTGTTCCTCATTATATATTTGAATATCAATGTGTGGATTTGTTTTAGATGTCCAAGGGCTGAGTATTGTTTATTCTATGCCGAAATGAATTTCCACTTTTCTTCGGGTCTATTCTAACATAGTGTTCCCTTCTTAAAAGAAAAAATGTGATTACATATTACATAATTTAAAGGCCAATTTTACACTTCCCGCCATAGCTTTGTTTCTTAAAAGAAATTATTCTCAGAAATATCAAAAGAACAACTTAAAGGCCCGAAAGTCATACTCATTAACGTTTAATGTTAAACTTTTTCTATTCTCATCTTAAAACCTATGCCAAGTGAAAACTTGTCATTCAAGTCTTATGCTAGTTCAGCTTTGAGATTGAACCATACTTGAATATGATTCTCAACTGCAGTGTTTATGGTGGTTATTTAATACATGGCTGGTGCAGGTTCTGGCATATGACGACAAGAATATCAAAGCCCTTTATCGTAGGGGTCAAGCTTATAAAAAGCTGGGACAGTTAGAAAGAGTATTTATCAACTCTTGTATGACTTTTCTCATTGTTCATTCTTTGTTCCAGTCCTTCCTATACAATGTCAGATATTTGTCAAGTCTTCTCATTTCTATTTTGAACTATAAACAGGATGCAGTGTCTGACTTGAGTAAAGCACACGAAGTCTCACCTGATGATGAAACTATTGCTGATGTCTTAAGGTATTCTTAACATCGGGGCTGCTGTCCAATGGTTGACTCGTTTATTTGCAGAAAATATCCAAAACCAATACAGAGAATCGAAATAGGTTGAAGTATCTGCACAGATGCTGGTGAGAGGATGCAGCAGAAAATAGCGGAAATGGAAGTAACAATCAAGGTCAGTACGTACCACATGTTATACATGTTCTTAAATTTCTTCTACTTCTCCTCCTTCCTTGGTTGGGATTTTGCTTTGGTTCAAGTCAGAGTGGATATGGTAATATCCTTTTTTCTTTTTCTATTTTTGTTTTAATGCTTGTAATTTCTGAAATCACAATTTTACTTCTTTTCTACATTTTGGATTATCTAATTAAAGCATAAAATTATTAGCGTGCAAGAGAAGCAGAACTTACCTTTCTATAGGAGTGCATCAATGAGCTTACTGTAGTGCTCAATTCCGGCCATATTAACATCTCCTAATATTCCCTCTGAATTTTAAAAAAAAATATTCTCATCTTATAATGACAATTGGGAGTTTATTTGTTTACTATGAAGGAAAGAGAGCAGTGACAGTTATAACTTACTAGGTAGAATTCTTGCCCATGAGATAGAGAAACGGAAGCTATTCACACCCATATTTGCCATGAGTTTGACGTCCTCCTGTTTACATTTTAATAGTATCAAACAGATCAGAACTATTCCATTTCATGATTTCACAATATCAATGAGCAAGATCAGTTATCGAGATACAAGTTTCTTTTAATGTAATATTTCATATTTCAAGCTTGGTTACTGTACGAAAATTCCGGTAAATATAACCATCACTTACATTTGAACTGCTTGGGGAACAAAAGGTGTTTATGCTGTCTCCCTCTCAGCTGCAAGGCGTTGAGCTTTCTGAAACTCCTTTAATACAGCTTGAAAATCTTTAGCAAGTTTAGCATCTGTAATTTTCTTTAGGAGATGAATAAATGTTTTGCACGTATATATCAAAGTGCAGACCCACCAAGACAAACACAGAGAAATAAGGAGAGCACTTCTTGAAACTTACACTGACTTCAACTCGATGATCTATTTCGCTGGCTTGTTTAAGTTTTGCAGATGTATCTTTCACTAATATTTGCCCAATATGCAACCTTGTTTTGTGCATGTAGTTGAGAAAATCAGCACAAGTACCAGAAAATTTTTATTTTTTTAAATTCGAATGAACCACCTTTCATCTCATCAAGACACTATTTCCTCCTGATTTGTTAACAGAGATGTTTAAGGTATACATACAAGTTATCTAAAATTCACCATGCCTCCAAGCTGAATCAAGATCCAGAATCAAGAGTTCCAGTTTCTTAAAACAGTTTCATGTTTGTGTCCAGAGTATAAGTCTATTCAAAGTTTCTGAACATTTTGATACATTTCTTATTATCATAGATTTAGTTTACCCTAAAAACTTTCACTGGTATAGTAAACGAAAATATATGCTCGGAAACCAACCAGTATTAACCATATACCTGAGTATAAGTTGGGAGGTATTCTTTCAGCAGAATTGAGTCTCCACAGCTAAAAGATAGACAATTTGTGGAACTCACTATGCACGGCCTAATGGTAGTAGTCTCCCTTCTTTTTCCTTTGTGATTCTCCGTTGCTTTTGCTAATGATAGAATTTAGAAGCACTATGATCCTGCAGTGGAAGCACTTGAGAGCTTGATGTGCCAAGGATTTTGTTTTGCTCGTCCTTCTCAGGACAAGAATGTCGACTCATGCTTAGCAGGCCATTTGAAGCTACAAATAGTTGATGTTTCGTGCTGGTTTTGTAACTATGTTTGTGATTCTTCTTATGCATTATTCTTTACTTTGCCATCATAGCTGGATAGTTTGAAAGTCTTGGTCCTTGGTAATAATATCAGATTGTTATAATGTTGCGTATAGTTTGTTGAGATGAATAACTTGGATTAATAAAAGAACGAAAACAGTTAAATGCTTGAGTATTCTTAGTCCGGATTCTGTTGGAGGGTAATAACTTTATTTATCCTCTTTTGTAGGTGGAGTAGATCAAGAAATGGATGATGAAGACGATGAAGAACTAGACCTTACTTGAAATGAATTTTGTATTGTTATAGATGAATGTTCTAGGAATCTTTTTTTACCAACATTTTTGAAACTTATTTACTCTTTTGAAATGTAATAAACTTATGCACTCATGGCTTTATGGATAATTTTGTATTATTAATAGTTTCATTTTATGATGTATTTAAATTTTAGTGTTATTATAATTTATTATATGTATAAATATTTATTTATAATAGGTGCTATATTTTGGTTTTAACTGAACTAATAAAATAGCCTACCAGAACCGTTGCAATAGGACACAAATGGAGTTCCAGTAGACAATGTAAACCGTTGCAATAGGTCCCATAAACTATTCCAAATACAAATATAACCGTTACGATAGCCTAAAGAAACCGTGGCTATATCAAACATAACCGTAGCAATAGCTTACATAAGTGTTGCTTTAAATAATATGGTAACAGTTAAAAACCGTTGTATAAACAGTACAGTAACGGTTTTGAACCGTTCCAATTGAAAAAAATAACCAATTTTTCAGTAGTGTATTGAAATGCTTAGACCTTAAATCAAGATTGGAACTGCGTTTGTTGTGCCATCTATGTGAAATCTTATCTATGCTTACAATTTAAATTGCTCTTGTGTGCACCTATTATCCTAAATTGCAAAGCTAACATTGAAATTGGGGATGATGTGAAATGTGGCCTAGTGCCAAAAATGATGTGATAGTTGTGGCCCCAAGTGCCTATGAAATGACATATGTGAAACAAAGATTGAAACGAGATGATTAATGAGAAAGGAACAACGCCTTGGTAAGGCGGCCTAGCCGATCGGGCCGAGATCGCACGCCATGCCGCACACATGGTGGTATTGTGATGATATTGAATTCCGAAAAAAGAAAATGAGATTGTGATTGAGGTATATGTCTCAAATGAGGCAACCTAGCCGATCGGGTCTACATCGGACGCCGCTTAAGATACCGGTGGTATTGCTAATAATGGTGAACAGTATGAAATGCCCCAAACTAAAAGCAATGGGAAATTATGTGAAAGATGTATGATTATTTTATTTGATGATGTGGTGATCGTTTAAAGCTTTTGAGTTATACTTGTGATTTCCTTATTCTTGTATGATAGTTCTTTCTAACTAGATGGTGTTTAGTTATACATATTAGTACTATTCCATGGTACTAACGTTCCTTTTGCCGGGGACGCTATGTTTTTAAATGAATGTAGGTGGCTCTATAGCAGACAGTGCCGATCGCGCGTAGCGGAGTGTCCTCCTCTTAAAGACTTGGTGAGCCCCTTTTTCCTTCAAAGGGTTATGTTGTACATCTTTTGTTGTAGACTTCCACTTTTGAGGTATAGCCGGAGCCTTGTTGCCGGCATTTCCCTATTACTCTTCTATTCTATTTAGAGGCTCCGTAGATTGTTTGTGGGTGATGGTTGATGTTGGGAGTCAATACTATATGTTAGTATTTGGTAAGCATGCTTTTCATTAAGCTTGTAAACTTGTAATATTTTGAAAACTATGAATGAAGTCATTAACGGAAATGAAGTGAAAGTTGCTAATGGAAGATTGCCTAGTATTTTGATGAAATGGGATAACATTCCCTCTTTATTCATGAACTAATTTGGGTAGAATGAAATCTAACGGGCTTGCTCAGTCGGGTTTACTCGGTTGAGCGCCGGTCACGTTCCACGATTTTGGGGCGTGACACTGAAGATGGTCTGGGCCAACTCTGAATCACCTCTATCTTCTTTGGATCCACCTTAATCCCCTCACCGGACACCACGTGCCCCAAGAACGCCACCAAACTGAGCCAAAACTCACACTTGGAGAACTTAGCATAAAGTTTTTCCTCCCTCAACCTCTGTAGTACAATCCTTAAATGTTGTGCATACTCCTCCTGGCCACGTGAGTATACCAGGATATCATCAATAAGTACTATGACAAACGAATCAAGATATGGCTGGAATACACTGTTTATCATATGCATGATTGCTGTTGGGGCATTGGTCAGCCGAAAAGACATTACAAGGAACTCATAGTGACCATAGCGGATCTTGAATGCCATCTATCCGAGTCCCGAATCTTCAACTAGTGATACTCAGACCCAAATCAATATTAGAGAACACTTTGGCTCCCTGAAGATGGTCAAATAAGTCATCAATGCGCGGCAAAGGATACTTGTTCTTAATTGTAACTTTGTTTAACTACCTATAGTCGATGCACATCCATATAGTACCATCCTTCTTCACAAACAGAACCGGTGCACCCCAAGGCGACGCACTAGGCCTAATAAACCCTTTATCAAGAAGCTCCTGAAGCTGCTCTTTCAATTCCTTCAACTCTGCTGGTGCCATACAATACGGAGGAATAGAAATGGGTTTAGTGCCCGACACCAAGTCAATACCAAAATTAATATCCTTGTTGGGTGGCATGCCCGGCAGGTCTGCGGGAAACACATCCGAAAAGTTTCGCACTACTAGAACATAATTAATAGTAGGAGTATCAATACCAACATCCCTTAGAAAGGCCAAATAGGACAAACACCCCTTCCCAACCATCTATTGGGCCTTCAAATATGAAATCATCCTGCCGGAAACATAACCTAGAGAACCTCTCCACTCGATTCTCGGCAACCCTGGCATCACCAACACTACGGTCTTAGCGTGACAATACAAAATAGCATGACATGGGAACAACTAATCCATACCCAAAATCATGTCGAAATTAACCATACTAAGCAATAAAAGATCAACTCTAGTATCCAACCCTCAAATGGCCACCATACACGACCGATACACACGATCCACAATAATAGTATCGCCTGCCAGCGTAGATACATGAATGGGTGAAACTAAGGACTCACGGGGCATATCCAAATAACAAGTAAAATAGGATGATGCATATGAATAAGTGGAACCAGGGTCAAATAGTG